CACACACACACACACACACACACACAGAGAGATATTTCATTATCCAGATATCTTGATTTTATCCAGTAGAGAAATGGGCTCCCTACTTTCACTATCCACATGTTACTATGAGCAGAAGAGAAGGGCCAACTGCAATTGGCATGACTGTCTGATTAACAAATGATTTTGATCCTCTGTGTATTTTCTATTTAGCATGTTTTGTTTTATGATTTTGTGATTGGTCTTTGGGGAAGAGGACACATGTGGGAGACAAGATGGATAAATCATATGAATGGGAATACATGTGCTGCTTAATGCCTCATTTGACCTTTAGTGGAAAAAGAATGCAAATCTCTGTTAGAATGCTTTAACCTGTACCATACTGTAGTCCTTAGGCAGAACTTTGGTGGAGTCATTCCCAGATGTTTACTTAAAGGGCCAGCCAAAGAAATGTAGCCTTTGTATCCCCAGCCTTGGCATGCCTTCATTGGCTCCCTGTTAGTTTCCATGCTCAATTTAAGGTGCTGACTATAACCTTAAAGATTTAGGACCTCAATATTTTGAGGAAACTCTCTCCCACAGAATAGCTACCCTTCCCACACACTCCTCACAGTCCTTGATGCTAAGAATTGTAACCCCCAAGGAAGCCAAAAAAAGCCAGCATGAGGAGCTGTACTTTCTTGGTCATGGCCCCTTCCCTCTGGAAGAAGCTTTCTACAAAAGTTCACCAGGTACCATCTATCTCTGTTTTTAAGAAGCTAATTAAGACTGAATTATATAAAGCTGCCTTCTACTTGTGTGAATGAGAAAGCCAGAGAGTTCCAGAAAAACATCTACTTCTGCTTCATTGACTATGCAAAAGCCTTTGACTGTGTAGACCACAACAAACTATGGCAAGTCCTTAAAGAAATGGGAGTGCCTGACCATCATATCTGTCTCCTGAGAAACCAATACGTGGGACAGGAAGCAACAGTTAGAACTGGATATGGAACAACTGATTGTTTCAAAATTGGGAAAGGAGTAAGATAAGGCTGTATATTGTCCCCCTGCTTATTCAACTTATATGCTGAATACATCATGCAAAAGGCTGGACTGGAGGAATCCCTTGCCGGAAGAAATATCAACAACCTCCGATATGCAGATGATACCATTCTGATGGCAGAACATGAGGAGGAATTAAGGAACCTTGTAATGAGGGTGAAAGAGGAGAGTGCAAAAAACGGTCTGAAACTCAACATCAAAAAAACTAAGATCATGGCCACTGGTCCCATCACCTCCTGGGAAATAGAAGGGGAAGATATGGAGGCAATAACAGATTTTACTTTCTTGGGCTCCATAATCACTGCAGATGGAGACAGCAGCCACGAAATTAAAAGACGCCTGCTTCTTGGGAGGAAAGCGATGACAAACCTTGACAGCATCCTAAAAAGCAGAGACATCACCTTGCCAACAAAAGTCCGAATAGTCAAAGCTATGGTTTTCCCTCTAGTGATGTATGGAAGTGAGAGCTGGACCATAAAGAAAGCGGACTGCTGAAGAATTGATGCTTTTGAATTGTGGTGCTGGAGGAGGCTCTTGAGAGTCCCCTCGACTGCAAGGAGGACAAACCTATCAATTCTAAAGGAAATCAAGCCTGAGTGCTCACTGGAAGGACAGATCCTGAAGCTGAGGCTCCAATACTTTGGCCATCTCATGAGAAGAGAAGACTCCCTGGAAAAGACCTTGATGTTAGGAAAGTGTGAAGGCAAGAGGAGAAGGGGACAACAGAGGATGAGATGGTTGGACAGTGTCATCAAAGCTACCAGAATGAATTTGACACAACTCCGGGTGGCAGTGGAAGATAGGAGGCCCTAGCGTGCTCTGGTCCATGGGGTCACAAAGAGTCGGAAACGACTAAACGATGACGATTACAAAAATGCATACAAAACAAAACAACCCAACATGAGAACTGAAGAGCCAAGCGTTTGCTTCTCTAAGTGCTAATTTTCTGGAGGCCAGTGTGGCATCATTAACAGCTAGTCTTCCATTTCAGACAAATATTTTCTTGAAGGGAAAAGTGTTATTAGGAGGAAGTGACCTAAGGACAATGTTCTATACACAATCGTTTACAGAAAATCAGAAGGGCAAGATGACCAAGCAAAACCAATCAGTCTATTGGTCTGTTGCCCCGCACTATTTACTCTGACTGCAACATCTGTGTCCTTATTCTAAAACCTCCCTAAAAGAGGCTGGATGATGCCCTGTTGTTAGTAGGTCACAAGCCTGATAATGACATTACAGTGTAGGCTCACCAAATCCCTATTGAGTCAATGGGCCTACTCTAGTTATGACTTACTGTACTATGCTAAACACCACAATTCTTGTCATTAAATCAAAGCACACGGGTGTACGAAATTCCCAAAGAAAAATCCAGCAGATTCATATGATTGTTAGGTTGCAGGATGTCAGCTGAAGTTTCCAGGAAGTGTTATGCTTCCCTGAATCTGTAGACAGAGTAAAAAAAAAATTGCAGGACAGGCAGTGCTGGTGAAAGAGGAAGGGTTGATTTTTTAATATGAAGAGGCTTAAAACCTTCAATAGCAGGGATGTTGGCAAGTGTTTGGGTCCAAGTCCCTAGTTCAAGTCTTTAGTACCGAGTCCCAAGCCTCAAGTTCGAATCCCTATTAAAAACAAGTTTTTTCCTCTTGAAGAGTCCCCATCAGGTGTTACTAAAGTTGAGCCCTTGAAAAATCCCTCCAGTTGAGTTTGAATCGAGTCAGCGAGTCCCACAACTCAAGTCCCTATCCCTGTTCAATAGTCATTTCCAGCTCATGCCAGGGCTGGTTGGTTTAGCACAAAGGTGCCAGTAGCAGTTCTGTACTTGCAGAGCATCAGCATACTTAAAAGTCTGAAGTAAAGTGAAGGAGTAGAAACAACAGGTAGGTGTATGCATTTGGGTGAGTTTGGCAGCAGAGTTCCAACTTGGAAGCCTCCTTGCAAATCTCCTGTCAACAGTGGATCCCCTGTGAAAATGGCTAAGATTCACCAAGGCCTGTACCTTAGCTTAAATCCATGTTTTTGCACCATGAATGCCCAGTGAGATGCTGTATCTGTAGATTACATGGTCCAGTCCATAGGCATGTTGATGTATATGGTTCACATTAAAAATAAATGATTGCCATGCTCCAGCAGCACTAAAAAGCACCAGAAATGGGTTTCGTACAGTTCAGTCTGCAGAGACAGATTGGGTTTCGGATACAGTGGCTGAAATACAGTAGTGTGCTGTAACTAGAGTAGGCCCACTGAATCATTGGAATTACAAAGGAATCTAGCTCAGTAAATCCCCACTGATTCACTAAACCTACTCCAGTTGCAACTTTCAGCCAGTGCTCCAGAGGGCATCTTTGATTTTTTAAAAAGCCATATGCAGTCTTGAAAACACTCAGGAAAGTAACAGGAATTCCACAGACAAGTGTTTTGCTGAGTATTGATTGAACAAGTGCTCTGAAGAAGTAAGTCCCACCAACCTTCTAGCCTCCGGAAGCATTTTGGCTACAAATTCCTTCTCCAGCTAACAACTGGATGGGGAGCTTGTAGTCGAAGGCCTTTGGAAGGAAAGTAACAAGTATTATTCTGGACATTCTTTGGTACTTTTCAAAAGTACTTTCAGGATGCAGTGCCACAGAAGGCCGTGGCTAGAGGAAAACGGAGCGTATTTTCCTGGGATGCAGAAAGGATTCCCCCATCGTGCTGAGAAATAGGTAAGGCATTTTGGTCCACGGTGCAGCTACAACAGGATGCCACGGGCCCCTTTTCAAAAGAAGGTGAGGCCCGCCGGCCAGCCCGTCCTCCGCCCATCGGTGGTGGGGAAGTGGCCC